GGCGGCCGGCCCTGGGCGGGCGCGCCCGAGGGGTTTCAGACGGGGGGCCGGAGCAGGGAGAGGGCTGGGCGGGCCGCCCGGCACTCAAGAGGGAGGGACGGGCAGCGCGTCCACGCCTGCCCTCCTCCCTCAGCGCTGACCCAGGCCACCTACAAACTCTGGGTCCCTGACACCGACTTCGACACCGACACCAACTGGAGCCAGAATCGGACCCCGTGTTCCAGCGACGCCATCCAGTTCCCAGCAGACAAGGTAGCTGGCGGCCCTGGGTGGGCAGGGGCCGTGTGGAGGGCGGGGCGGGGCCCGGGGCCACACTGGCGTTGGTCACCTCCTCCACAGATGGTGTCGGTCCTGGTGCGAGGGAGCCACGCCGTTGCCAACCTGGTGAGGCCGGGGTGGGGCTGGGGACATGTGGCCCGGTCGGTTAAAGAGGGCTCTGCATCCTGTATTGAAAGCAGTGGTGGCTGTTGGCTCGGGAGATATAAACTATTACACAGTGGAAATTCTGTTCTACCGCTAAAGCCAGCAGATTTCTATTCTTTGAGACATATCTTGCTATGTAGTTTAGGCTGGCCTTGAACTCACTATGTAGCCGAGGCTAGCCTAGAACTCAAGGTGATCCTCCTGCCTCAGCCTCCCAAGGGCTGGGATCACAAGTGTGTACCACCATGCCCAGCTTAAAGGTAGCAGATTTTAAAAGACATTTTTCACTCTGTGTGGATCAAGATGAGCCCCTGGGGGCACTGTTCCTGCTGAGAGCTTTCCCAAGGTCCGGCTCTCAGCCCCAGGCTACTGTCCTGGAGACAAGGTCACATCAGCTACTTTTTCAGGAGGCTGTGTCTGCCTGTCCCCATGTTAGTTTTGGTGATCTGGAACTCTCCACTGCCACCTGCTGGACACCATCAAACATGGCTCTTCCTCCTTCCCAAGCCTTGGGATTCCTGCTTGACTACCATCCATTTCTTAAATTCAATTTAAACTGAACAAGGTTTCTGTTTTCCGGTACTGGGGATTGAATCTAGATCCGCTGTACTGAGCCACATCCCCTAACCTTTTTAAAAAATTTTTTGAGACAGGATCTCACTGAGTTATTTAGTTACTGGCTGGGCTCCAGCTCATGATCTTCCTGCCTCAGCCTCCCAGAGTTCCGGGGTGAGGTACTGCACCACCATGCCCCGTTTGCATGCACTGTTCTTGCTGAAGAACCCGAGTCTGAATTTCTTTCCCTCTGATACTTCCAAGTGCTGTCGGTGGTGCGAAGTGTTGTCACATAGAAGCATGTGCACGACCAGGGGCCCCGCCCTGTGCTCACTCTGAGGGTTGCCAGCTTCCTGTCGGGTCTGGGAAGCTCGTGCACTATGTGTGTCCCCGCCCGCCCCTGTGCACGCATGCGGCCCTGGGCTTCCTCCCTGCAGCTGGTGCCTGGACAGGCGGGGATCCTCATCTCCCCTGCCTCACTCATCCTTTCACCTACTGACTGCCATTTTCTTATTTTAGTCCTATTTTCCCTCGGGGGTCTTTAATGCCTCATTATTATTGTTACCGTTTGTGGCGGTGGGGATGGAACCCAGGGCCACACATATGCTAGGCAAGCACCCTACCCCTGAGCTGCAGCCCAGCCCTAGCTGTCTTTAAAAACACATTGTTGAGGTGGCAACCCTGTAGTCCTAGCGCTCTGGGAGGCTGAGGCAGGAGGATCACAAGTTTGAGCCCAGCCTGGGAAACTCGGTAACTTGGCAAGACCCTGTCTCAGAGTGAAAACTAAAAAGGACTGGGCATGCAGCTCAGGGTGAAGGTCTTGGGTCGCATCCACAGCACCGCAGAACGAGCACCGCCTCAAGCAGGGCTGCTCTCCCGCTGCCTCCCTCTCCCTGGGCCGCACCTGCCTCTGGCAACGGCTGCCGGCGTCCCTGTGCCACAGCGCTGCGCCCCCAGCTGGGCACAGTTGGGACGAGCGCGGGGCCCTGGTGCTGTCCGCGATGGCACGGACCCCTCAGGTCCGCGGCAGCCTCCACCTCAACCCCGAGGGACCAGCGTGGAGTGGGCGCGAGGCCTGGGGAGGGCGGACGCGCGGGTGTGGCCGGACTTCGTGGTGTGGGGTACAGCGCGCTGCCCGCCCTCTGTGGTACCCCTGTCGCTTTGCAACGTGTAAAATGTGCTGTCCCGGGCCGAGGAGCCCAGGCTGACGGCGGCCGGCAGCGGTGTGGGCGTGTCACGCTGCCGGGCGCCAAGCTGTTCCCGCCCCGAGCCCTGGCAAGGCTGTGCCCAGAGCGCCGCGGGGCCAGGTGCCCGGCCTGGCCTCACACGGCCCGGCCCGGACCCGGAGGCTGCAGGGCGCAGGGCGGCCTGGTCCTCAGCCCGCGCCTCCCGCAGCTCCTGCCGCTGGACGGGGAGCTCGTCCTGGCCCCGGGAGCGGGGTTCAGCGCCGCGCACTCCCACGCAGGCTCGCACCAGGACTGCGGCGCCGGCTCAGGTGAGCGCGGAGGCGGGGCGGCTCGGGGGCGTGGCTGGTGGCGCCTCGGGGGCTGGGGCGGGGCGGGGCTTAGGGACGGAGTTTCCGGCTGGGCGAGGGGGCTGCTGCCTGGGGGCGTGTCTGTGGGCGGGGCTTAGGGACAGAGTTCCGGACTGGGCGAGGGGCGTACTGCCTGGGGGCGAGTTCGAGGGCGGGACTTGGGACAGTTCCGGACTGGGCTAGGGGGCGTGTCCATGGGCGGGGCTTAGGGGGCCGGCCCGGGGCTCAGCGGAGCGCGCCCCCAAGGGGGTCCTGTGCTCTTCCGCAACCCGGACCGCTTCTCCTGGCTCGACCCACACCTGTGGCGCTCTGGGGACGAGGCTCCCGGCCTCTTCTCCGTGGACGCCGAGCGCGTGCCTTGTGTCCACGACGACGTAATCTTCCCGCCCAACGCCTCCTTCCGCGTGGCGCTGGGCCCCGGCGCCAGCGCGGTGCGCGTCCGCAGCGTCTCGGCGCTGGGCCAGGTGAGCGGGCGG